TCTATGGTCATCTGTGGGAGCCAGGCCAGGGTGGTTCTGGGCACACCGGGATGCACAGCTGCTGGCACTGCAGATCCTTCACTACCTTTGAATGGTTCAAGACAATCTCCTATTAATTGTCCCTGAAGTGAAGCAAGCAGCAGTACACAGACTGGAGGAGATGACAATTTTCAGGAAGAGGGTGATAATGCGTAGCTGGAAGTGGTGCTATTTTCCTCTAGAGCTGACACGGGTAGTCTGCCCAAGGTCGTGGCATCACAGGTATGCAGTAAGCACCCAAGGTGAGGAATGAGCACGGCTGCAGCAGCAGCTGGTACTGAAGAGGACGTAATTTATGCTCTTCTAAAGTAGCTTCAGGAAGGTATAGTCCTGAGTACATCATTCTTTTACAGTTCCTGTACTGAATTACAAACTGGAAATTGGAGAATTTGGGATAGAGAGCCAATAAAACATTATGTCTACAAACACAGGCCGCTGGCCATGATACGTGTAGTGATCTGGTCTCAAGATCCTTGTTGAGGCAACAAAGCTATTTTCTGTTGATCATGGATTGGTTTTCTTCTGTTCTTTACCAGTAAAAATTAGTATCATCCTTTCCAAAAGAGATGAAAGTACCATCTGAAGAAAATTGTCTCATTGTCTCTATGAAAGTGTTGTAATTCTGATCCTGAATAGCCCTGTAATGGGAGCTCTGATTTTTAAATTTTTACTGGGTACTATGGAACATTGCCAATTGTCTCCCATGACAACTAAAATCTCCTAAACTACATTAATATTACAGACAATTACCTTTACCTGTGTAAAAAATTATATATTAGGGCAAGGGGGAAGTCCATTTTTAGTAGTAGACAAGGACAGTGTTTTCTACCTATAGCTTTCCCAGTAAAACTGGGTTGTTACGGACAAAAAGTGACAGCCTATATCTTCAGAAGTTTTAGTGAAATAATGTCTTTTGGCAGACAGTATTGTGGTGTTAACAGAAAAAGCATTTCCTCAAAAACACAAGGTTTCTGGTCTGTTAAGGGTTTGTTTCTGTTTCTTAAAACCTCTATTCAGTCTCTGTGAAAAGGATGAGGGTAAAATGTAGAAACTTTTAAATTGAAAATCCAACAAAACCAAGAAAAGGTTCAGCTGTAGTAAATAAGTTTGTGCCACAGTAAATAAGCTTTATTTTTTGCAGATTGATATTGGCACATGGATGAAGGGTAAATAACTGGGAAATCAATTAAAAGGGAAAAACTGTTTATGCTGGAGAAACTTGAAAACTATGTGTCCAAAGGTATGAGAGTTCTGCATGTACATGACCTGATTTGACAAAAATAATCTAGTGTTAGATAAACAGAACTGACTTTGTATTTGAGACATAAGATAAAATTGACACAAGCAAAGGAAATTGAAATTTCTATTATGTGAGTCTCACTTTATTCACCGTAAACATAAAACACTTTGCAAACTAATCCAATATTGTGAAATAAATTTAAAGCTGGAATTATCTTAAAATTTAATAGCTCACTACAGGAATCACTTTATACAGGGTATTTCCTTATTCTTATCTCACACTATTCTCTAACCTATTCCTATCTTAATTCTCTTCTCCTACCCTAGAGAGGGGTATGATGAATATTCTGTTCCCATACAGAACAGAACTTGCATGAATACAGGAGAGCCTCAAGCTGGACTTGTTTAATCTTCACCCTGGTTTTTGAACTTGTAGGTTAAACTTGTCAAATTTTAAAAATCTCTACAACCAGGAGGGCACGAAACTTCTTTTTAAGAAACTGGGATTTTTTTTCCTGGTAATAGCAAGCTTTTGAGAGCTAAGGGAAGATTTAGCAATGCTGAATTTCCATTTTCTGAGCAACACAGCAAGTAACTTAGTTTTATTAATTTTATGAAACAGAGCACTGCTGCGATAGTAGAACAGGTGAGTAACTCAAATTTTGGCTTGTAGCATCAAGGCAACATTTAAGAAATATTTGTTCTTGTTACATTGCAGGTTCATCCTAAGAGGTTCAGAAGACTTAACCCCAAGTTTTAAAAGCTAATGCTATATGTTTACTTTTAATTCCATTGCTTTATAACATGCCACTACTCTCCTAGCAGAGATTTTCTAGCCACAGCCTGCTCATGCTTTAGTAATAAAGTAACTTACTAAATTTTCTGATATATATATGCGTTTTTTTCTACCTCAAAGAGGTACAAGTAGATCTCAGATATGGCAAGTTAATACCATAATAATAATTAAGTTAATACCTCATAACCTGAGGACTGTATGTTCTAATTCATACGATATAATTTGTATTTACCTTGTATGACGCTGAAAGAGCTGAAGATGGCTAAAAGCCAATCCAAAACACTCTTTTCTAAGATAAGTGGTGTAACACTCACATTACCAATAGTTATATCACCCTTCCAGAAAAACAAATGCATTTGAAATACTATTATCTCTGGAGACTGATTACCCCTAAACACCTCATAAGAGGTTTATCCTGTAACTCCACATAGAGGGCAGTTGCCCAATTTGTGATTTCCTGCAGCAGCGGATAGTAGTATTTCTCCAGCTGACATAATCAGACTAATGAGATCTCCAACCTGTCTCATTCAACTACGTAGGAAGTATGTACTCTTAAAGTAAGCTGTTGTTCAAGTTTCTTGGTTGTCAGAAGCGTGCATGAACTGTGGAGGCAAACATGTATCTTGCAAGTGAAGAATCTTTTTGCCCTTTCATATTCACCTGGATTTTTATCAGCAGCACCTAAAAAGCCGTGTATGCCAGATGGCCTGTCCTGTTTGAGGAACTGCAGTACACGTTAGGATTAAAAAAGTCTCGTGACTAAAAGAACCAAACTAAAAACGTGACAATCTATTTAGACTTATGAAAATATTTTTCTTATATGTAAAACAAAAGAATCCCCATAACTTTCCATAAATCACTGCAGAGAACAAATTACTAAAGCTTCTATTTCAAGAAGTGGATTACGTGACTGGAGGTGTTTAAGAAATTAAGGTGTTTCCAGCAAAGAAATAAATGATACTAGCTTTTAGCAAAGTTCAATTAATACAATAACCAAGATGTATATGATATTTTAAGGTGTTTTCCGACTGTTTAAGCCCTCTGTTTTACTAACAAAAATTAAGAACATAAAAAGTTGTGCAAGTAGATTAGTCTGACTTTTGCTAAACAGAAACAGCAATATTAACTTTATTTACAGGCTGGTTTTGGGTTGACTGTTGATGGGTTAAGAAGGATTTTTTTTTTTACAGTTGATGGGTTAAGAAGGATTTTCTTATTTTTTTTAGTTTTGCACTTAAAATTCACAGCATGTACTGCATGTAAATATTCTTAATTTTACACAAGTGTCTTCTCTATCCCTTATAGTAGTCACAGATCTATTAAATTGCAGAAAATCCATATTTAAGAAGAATACAAGTCACTGTCTTGGTAGGGGAGATGTTTTCTAAATTTAGATAGACATGGATGAGGGTGAAAAATGGCTAAAAAGTTTTTATAGTTGCATTAATATAGTTAGAGAATTCTTTTATGATAGTGTTTCATGCGTTTCAAAGTGTTTTATGAAGGGTTCCTTACACATTTTTCAGATGTGTAAGATTTTTCATTTCTCTACGATTTAGTTTATTTTCTTTGTTGCTAATTCCTGGGCTGTGTTGATCCCTACAAGGAAAATGCATAAGGAGCTGGTCTCTGTTAAAATGGTGGTGCACATTTGTGTCATTTGCTGCAGGAATAGCAGCGTAGGTCTTGACTGGTAAAGCGCAATGTATGGAGACTCTTTTCTTTAGGGTAAATCATGCAAACTTTACTTAGCACAAAACAGCTTTTGAAAGTAGTACATACTTCCAAAATTCTTCCAAATCTAATGGTAATGGACTTCAAGTTGAAGCATTAGTACAGCCTCAAGAAAAGTAGGAGAGAATACAAATGAAGTATAATTTTAAATTATTTTTACAACTACTCATAATTCTCCAGGTAATGACGTAAATGCGATGACCTGGCAGACATGCAATGTACAAATGCCATGGAAAAAGATATTTGTGAAAACTATAATGATGATCTATTTTGCTTTCTAAACATAATTTGTAAGTCTTTCATAAAAACACTGACACAGATTAACTATTAACTTTTTTCATTAAAAACAAAAAGTTTTACATAATATTTAGCTGAGAAATACTGCTTACCTTAACTTTTTCTTCCAATCTTCCTAAGCGTAGACTGCCTTCTATGATTTTGTTAAGAACACCATGATTTTCATTTTCCAAACACTTGGCCTGCAAACATATAGTATACCTATCTAAATGTGATCATTACTTCAGACAGGGCAAACAAAATACACTGAGGAAGACAAAGCTATTCTGTTCTGAGCTCAAATAGTCTAAAGAACCAAGAAGGAAAAAGAATCCTGAAAATTATTCTAATCATGGCTAATTAAGAATTTGTTAACTGACTGTGAATACTATCTCACTAACAAAACAGTATGTTGAAACAGTCTTATTCCAAAAGGATCATAGCTACTGACACTGTAAACCAAACCAACTCTGCATATTTTTCTGCAGATGGATGGATGTGTACACGGGCATCTCATTCGTATGCATGAGACTCATCCTTCGGCTCAGATTTAGTAGTCTGCTCTCAAAAGAGCCCTTGAAATTGGCCGGAGTTCAGGCAAGGAATCTGGTATGTGGCTTATGAATGGCTTCTGTCTTACAACTGTTTCCATCATACATTCTCTCTCAGGTATAAAAAGTAAACCAAACAAAAACTGCGTAAGATGTAAACAATGAAATAATTTTAAAACTGTAAGAGGTTTCAACTGTTAAATCCTCTGAAAGCATTCAGGAGAGAAATAACCGGGTTTTAGAATCAGCAATGTCTGACCACCTTGAACCACGCACATCACTCCAGTGACACATCTCCTTTCACAGAAGCCAAAATTAACCAGCATGGCTGGAGCCTGAGCTTCACGCTCAGTCAGTGACATTTTGATTAACTGTGTGGTAGCTGAATCACACAATACAATTAAAGGATCATTTTGACAGCTGCTAACTCAGGATTACAGTTCATCATCAGTGTTACACTATCAAAGTTGTGTTAAATAAATTTGTTGCTGTTATATTTTACTCTTACTGGATTTATCAGTAAGCTGTCACTGTTCCTGGAAATAATAAATTTAAGACTATCCATTCATTTTTGTAGAGATGTGTGGTTACTAGGGATTTTTTTTTTTTAATCCTCATTAAGTAAGAACATAGGCTAATTTCTTAAGAGTGCTGTACACTTTCTGCTCTTCCTGTTCTTCTGGATTAAATCTGTGTAAAATGAATTTCAACACTTTAATTCAATTAGTGACTTAAAAAAGAATAAGACTAGGGTAATAGCAGTAGCTGAACTGAGTAAATAAACCTGACATCACTAGATTTTGAGGTGGGGGAATGATAATACATTTTTCATTATATGGCATGCTCAGTAGTGGCTCTCAGTAGTGATTATGAAATCACTATAGTCTGGCTCTCATTTAAATATTTCTGTTTTCTAGGCCTTCCCACTAGACAACTTTATCAGATTACCTGACTACAAGACACACCTGTGGTCTAACTTTCCACCAAGGTACGTTTTCAGTTCAGTGATTAAAAGTAGGAACAGGTTGCTCTGATTCAGGCAGCAAAGTAAACTGGATATTTAAAGGTTTTACGGAGACTAGACTATTTCAGTATACAAGTTTGTCTTGGAGTATCTCTGCTCTCAGCCCAGACACAGTGAATTCATAAAAACAAAGCAAGACTTGTGCACTGTTTAGTATCTAAGCCACAAAATGGAGAAATAATGGACAGCAAGTAAGTATGTATCATCATCAAACACACACACAAGATAACGTGATCCAAAAGGAAGAGACAAATTGTTTTGCATGGCAGGACTGACTTCTAATTGCTGGATCAGTTCATACCTGTCTAAAGAAAGCAGCATTTTGGGCTGCTTTCCATGGACCTACTCAGATTTTTGCACGTGCATGAAACTTGATTTTCTAGCACATACTTTCAGTTACATGTTTCAGAAGGAGAGAATACGATGCCAAATACTGCACACTTGCAAAAATAGGCTTTACGCTACTGTGTGGTGATTAAGATTATATTGACATCTTTCCTCTGAAACACGGTTTTACTGCTAAAAGTACTCTGAATATCTACTAGAGTATTATTAAGCTTAATGGCACACCTTGTACTTACATGTAATTCTGGATCTCTGTGGTATTTCTAATGTGGTATGCTGAGTATTTGAAAGCAGATATACCAGAGACTGAGATAAGAACCAGTTCCCCTAATTCCTAGGAGACATTTATTGTGCCTAGTTTCACAATCCTAAAGTCTAGTTTGCAGTGGACAAGGATTTGAGTTGCATCACCATAGTTCCTCTTCTAGAATTAGGAATTCACCCCTACAGAATCTTTTTACCCAACAGTGATTACAACCTTTGTCTGCTACTTGAACAACAGAAGCAAAAGAAGCTTTATTTTAACAAAGTTTTGTGAAATGGTTTCCAGGACCAATTTGAAGATGGAGTACCAATATGTTAAACTGAAATTGTGTCCAAAATCTTGTAAAGGAAATAAAGCGTGCCTACAAAAAGCTCAGTAATTTCCATGCCATAACTTCCACTAAACAGAAGTTGTTCCAAAACTCCCAACCAGCCTGTAAAAATGACCGCTCACCAAAAAGGAGCACTAATGTGCATTTACTTCCACAGTAGAAGGTCCATACAGATCACTTCAAGGATAGTAGTTTACCTTTAGATTTAGAAACACATATTAAATTTTTTTTATTGTGTGCCATTTTTCAATACATGTAGCTTCAACAATTGAAGCCAATCTTTAAAATCAGATTTAAAAATTCTTTTAAACTTGATATACACCACTGCAGACCCTAATGCTAATGTGAGTTAAGGCTTAATTATGTTGTCTCCAGAAATTAAGGTAGTTGCTTTTAACCAGTCTTCTAGAAAATAACTTTTTGCTGCTGGTGTCCTATTTGCAAAAGCCTATTTAAACAGCTAAATCCTTAAACTGAAATTATAGCTTTCTTTTTTGATAATTCAAATTAACAGTAAGTTGTGCTGGTAGGATGATAATCGTGTGAAATATCAATTAAGTCATACTAATTATTTAAAGGTAATTACCAAAAAAATAAGATGATCACGTTCCTGAGCTATCTTCTCCACCACACCAATAAGGTTTGTTAGATAGTGATGGGCTGCAACTTCTTTTTCCATTGCTTCCCCCAACTGCTGTTTCAAAAGACCTATTTTCTTCTTTAATCTCCTATAAAATTAACAGAAAAAGGAAAATCTTCAGATTGGAAATTAATAATGGCATTAAAAGAACTTGCATTGCATATGCAAATCAACTTGTACAAGTCTAGCAGTATATTTTATTGTTTGAAAGATGCATTGGCTCAAAACATTTGCAGTGCCGAAGGCATTTCCCACTTTTTGAGGCTGTTTTTCTTTACGATATGTTGTGTGAATAACAAGAGTAACAATCATTCAAAAGCACATATTTGTGCAATAGCTACAAGCTCATATTTCTTAAGAAATACAACAATAATATTGGTTTTACTTTTTAAAGTGTTGAGAGCCCAACTCTGAACCACTCAGGTGAATAAGAATGTCTGCAAATAGTGTAACACCCTATTTTTCAGGTGAGTACACAAATGACTAATTGCTGTAGCTAACTACTGCCATTAAAGATATATTCTTAATTTGCATGCAGATGTTGAAAAGTGTGCATGAAAACACATAAAGCTTAGCAAAGTTACTTGATGACCAAGCCTTTAAATGTGACAAAGATGGGTTTATGAAATAGGTTTTTTCTGTAATAGGTAGAAATTACACACTGTGGGATGTCAGACAATATTTTTACAGGTATTTCTGCTATTATTTTTAGAAATATTTTTATGTAAGAAAATGAGAATGTGATATGACCTGTTTGTCTTTTGAGTCATTTCCATCTCAGTTTCCAGGATCTTGTTGTCAGCTATGAAGTTATTTTTCTCTAAAAGCAGCTTCTTGTTTTGAGCTTGCAGTGATGCTATCTTTTCCATTAGGTCTTCCACCTCACGGCGCTTTTTCTCCTGCTCCTGTTGTAAATGGCTGCAAAAACCAACAGTGCAGAACAAGTGTCATGCATAGGCCTACTTCACTAAAAAGCCAAGTTATGGTAAGATACTCGTGTTGAAGGCATGAAAAAGATCCACTGAGAATGCTTAATATTCAGTGGTGACATCAGAGAGGTACTACAATCTTATGACATAGCAAATCATGAATGAAGCATAATAAAACCAAAATTATTCAAATAATTCATCCTGACTGCACCTGAAATAGACTTTAAATTAGAAAAATATCCTATATAGTCCAAACATATTCCTTTCCTTATTTTTTTTTTTTCAAAGAAATAACTAGCAATGCCAAAAAAGGAGGTCTGAGCATTTCTCAGGAAGGCACTGTACCAGCAAATAGGAGCTTGCACTCTCCTAAGGCTTGAAAGTAAACAAATGTACAGAATGTCTTTATAAAAACATTACTTTACAGACTAAGCTGCATGACAGCACTTCTGTGATGTGCTGTTTCGTGTTATTTCCATATTGCAAAGACTGAAGAAACTTAGTATTTTTAGTTCAGAACTTCGGGATCCTTCAGACATTTTCCCAAAGATGAGAACGAAAGAATAAGAGTATTTCTTACATAATCTTGATAGAAGTAATTAGATTTGACAAAAATTCTATTTTTAATGCCTCCTCCTCTACTAGTTAGAAAGGTACATTTAGCAGTACGTATTTAATGGTAGAAACACGTCTATCTAATCTCCAGAGCTGAGATTTCCTTCTGTAATTTTAATTGTCTATAAAAAGCGAGACAGCATTTTTGAAATTACCTTTCTTCATACTTTGGTAGTTACCTTTACGGATTACCAGCATAAATTCCTACTCACCTCCTACTTACAGAATGATGTGGATGCCAACCTGTTCACGTGAACACTTTACAGAACTGTTTCTCTGTGCACCGTATGTAAACTCGTACCTTTTTAAATCATTCACCAAAGCAAAGTGCTCTTCTGCTGCTATTCTGCTATCTAGCTTGGCTTTCAGCTCTTCACAAGCAGAACGAAAAGCTTCCAGTTGCTTCTGGTACTCTGCTATCTCTTTTTCTTGACTCTGTTTCTTATCTTCTAAGATTATTATCTGCTTGGTCAATTTTGAAGCTTTTGAGAGGAAAAAAAAAAAAAACAAAACAAACCTGGGTTTAGCAGAACTAATTCAATCACCTAGTGAAATTCCAACTAAACCAGTAACATGGTCCTTCTTAGCTGTTCATAGTATTATATAACAGTGGATTTCTCAGTTTTTGTATTTTAACACTTTGGATTTTTCTTTTGCTGTCTCAAGCAGTTTGTTCTGGAAAAACACCAAAACTTAAAGACTACTACTTTTCAGGGCTGTAAGCTGTTTGCTCACTGAAATGTCATTTTACTCTGAAAAATCCTCTGATTCAGGTTTTACTAATTCAGGAAAAGGACCTAAAATGGAACATGACTTTCATAGCCTAGCAGATAAGGGCACACATCAAGACACTGCCTAGTTTCTGTTCACTGATCTCCAAGTTCTTCCTGTAGTATGTATTTCTTTCACTGGATACACTGCCAAAGCAGTTGTAGAAACTGAACGGAAGATCAGGGCTCTTGTTTCCTTGTGGGAACTCCAGCAATAGATAACAAAATGTCAGTGTTTACTAGGGATGTTCTGACAACTCATACCAGATCAAGCTATTTTGAGATCTGGAAAGAGGAAAACCTGATTTTGAGGTATTGTCTGGCGTTCGGCCTTGGATATGATAAGTAGTTATCTTCTAAACACAGATGATATAGAGACATAAAATTCTAAACAAAAAACTGAAAAACTTTAAAAGTAGAAAGGAAAGTATTTATGGAATTAGGTGGCAAACAACTAAAAAATTTCAGAATTGCAGTTTTGCTATATAGGTTCACTTGAGGAAACTTCTCATCAGCAACTTTTGTTAATTGCACATAAATAAATGTTTTTCAGAACATCCTGAATTAAGATGCAATTTTGCTTTTTAAACTTCACTAATAAATCTTACTTTCAGTTTTGGGATTTTAAACTATAACATGCTAGTTCTCTTTCTAATATCCAGTCATAAGGCTTTTAACAAGAAGTATCCAGAGGAATCTGCCAATACAAAAAGTAACTTTCAGCAGAAAAATTCATCTTGGTCAAGAAATAACATTTACAGGCAAGACAAGGAATATCAAGTGTTCTGGATTTGAGCAAATACAAACCTCTGATGAAACAGCAATAGATAACAGATTATTACTTCAAGATGAATGTAAACGTAAACAGTATCAAATTATAAAAGTGTAAAATCAAATACTGATACAATTATATTAAGTGATAAACATTGGTTACAACGCAGAAAGTTTAAAACCTCTACAAATTCTAAATTAAACATTATTTAAATGTTTAATAATACCTCACAAATGTCAACCTGTAAAGTTTGAAGTGCTCTTAAATTACGAAAATGAGCGTATTGCTGTTTAATAATTCTTATCACTTTTTCAGAGGAAGCAGGCCAAAATGGAGTGTTGTATAGTGTCAACTGACACTTCTTTTCAGTATCAGTTGACAGCCAGAGCTGGATCTCACGTTAAGTGTTACAAGCATTCAGCAGTGCTTTGTAGGCATATATGAAGTTGCAAAAAAAAAAAAAACCCAACCAAACACCAAAACAAAAAACCCACAACCAAAACAAAACCAAACCTTCAATACCATCTTTGGTGTAGTTCAAATGACTAGCAACTCAAGCATTTTACCTTCTTGAACATGTTGTCTGTGACTATCTTTTGCTTTAGCTTGTTGAATTTCAAGTTGCTCCATCAACAATCTGTTTTCTTCCAAGACTAGCTTGGCCTGAGTTTGCAGCTGCTGCCTGCAATGACAACCAGCTTATAAATAAAACATAATTCAAATATTAACTTATGTCTAAAGAAAAAACACAACTGACTTCCAACAGTGTAAACTAATAAAATCGTATTTGAAACTCTAAAACAAAATTAAAAACCCTCATTGAAAGCAATGTCAAGACCCAAGGGAAGCTAATTATAGAGACGTGAGCTCCTAACTGTCAAAATGTAAATTATTTTAAATAATGTTTAAAATCTTTTACTAACTAAAGCAAAAATTCCCTATAGAAAAAAAGGAAAAATATGTATGCGTGAATTAGAATCGTAGCATCACAGAATAGCTGAGGTTGGAAGGGACCTCTGGAGGTCATCTGGTCCGGTCCCCCTGCTCAAGCAGGGGGACCTAAAGCCAGCTGCCCAGGACTATGTCCAGCTGGCTTTTGAATATCTCTAGGGATGGAGACTCCATAGCCTCCATGGACAGCTTGTTGCAGTGCTCACAGAGAAGAACTGTTTCCTTACGATCAGAGGGAACCTCCTGTGTTTCAGTTTGTGCCCATCCTGTCACAGGGCACCAGTGAAAAGAGCCTGGCTCTGTCTTTACACCGTTCCCTCAGGCATTTATATACAGTGATAAGATCCCACCGAGCCTTCTCTTCTCTCAGTGACACAGTCCCAGCTCTCTTTCTTTCCTCATGAGAGTATTAAAGCTACGTGATGTTGCCAGATGACTTAAAGACAGCTATGTAGCTAGAACTCAATTTGTTTTCAAAACATGTGGTAAATTCTTGGATAGGATTTGTATTTACTTGGCTTTGATCTCTGGAAAAATACTCCCGTGTGTTTTATGGGCCTGTAAAGAAGATAGGTGTTTGAACTATCCTGAGCAGAAAATTGAACTCTCTGCTTTTTAACTAGTATTAATTCAGCTTGCAAGAAAACAAATACCAGTCTTTATGATGTTAACAAAAGCTTGAGAAGCTATTTGCTGTTCTAATAATAACTTTAAAAGTTGAGAAGTATTAGCCAGAATGCAAGTAGAAATACAGTACAAGTGTCAGATGATATCACATGAATTTAAACTTCAGTTGCCATTAATCAATCAGCAAGAGTAGCCTACACTCAAACAAAGTGTAGCAAAATAGACTGTTACCAAGGATTTCTGATGACAGTAACTTAACACAACGTACATCCACTTTGTTCATGTGCGGCCTGAGTTAGGTAAAAATGCATCCTATTGTGTATAGATTTAGACAGGAACAATTATCCCTACCATCAAATGATATTGTGAGTAAAATTCAAGTTGAAGCACACAGCTAATGGTTGTTGTCTGGCAGCTGAAAAATAGAGAGCCTTAAGCAGTCTACCCTGAAGATTTCTGCAAACACAGAAATGGAAGTCGGCTTACACTTGCATCCAGGAAAACCTCTGTGCACAGGAGCTTCTAATTAAAACTGCGACTTGCAAATTGATATTACTAAGATTATATTTCATCAATGGGTTTAGGCACAACGAACATCTCCCACACTGCCAAGTGACATCCTCACCCTCAGCTATGCCTGGCACCATGAGGCTACATTGTGAAACAAAATTTTAAAAATTTCTACAAAAGGGGGATTAGGTTGATCAAGACCCAACTCCTTTATGTGCTCGACAGTGCATCGCCATGAGCAGTTATGTCAGTGCAAACAAAGGAGTAATGCACTGCAACGCTAAGTGTGAAGAAGCCCCTGAAGGTGCAGAGCAAAAGCTTGGTAAGGTAGTATTGCTGCTGACATCCCTGCCTTAAAAAACAGCTGCTAGACAGAGACTACAGACAGCCTGAAACAGCTCAGAGAGATATGAACATCTCTCATTCATTTGCAGAGACAAAAGCAAAAGAAAAGGTGTTAAAAGTTCGAAAATTCATATTTAAGAAGCTGAAACACCTGTGTGAAGAGTGTTTTGGAATTTGTGGACAGTATATAACCATCCAAGGATGCATAAAATATCCAGAGTACTTTATTAAAGCACCTATAAAACACTTTGATACCTTTATAACAACGAAATCTATACAGAAACTAAACACTTGTGTAATTCTGCCTTGAGGCGACTCTCATTGAAAGTCAGTCGATGTTACTGGTTAAATCTGCAGATCAGTTCAAGACTGGAAGAGACACCTCGAGTCGTACAGTCCTCCTAGTGTAGGCACTGCGCCATACCATCCTTTCCATACAATTACCACTTGCGTCGTGCGTGCAGTAAGAATTTTTATGCTCACTACTCACAGTGGATGGTGTTCCAAAACCTGCTACACTGGTTAGGAATCATCTTGCAATTTCCACATTGAGTTTGTTTATGGTGAATGAATACCCAGTTGTTGTTCTAGTAACACTGCCCTCAGTCCTATAAATGCAGCTTCAGTAGTTCTTTGTATACTTAGTGACTCCTGTTCCTGATGTGCTCCCAGAAAGCAACATGAGAAAGGCCCATCTGTCTAAACTCCAAATAAAAGAGGCCTTCCATGTCCTTGGCTACACCGCAAACCCTTTCAGCTTTGTTACTCTGTACTTAAACATGGATGACAGGAGGAAGTTCTATATAATTGTGATTAGTGTCCTATGTCCACTAGAGGGACCTATTCTAACATACCTCGGGACTACACTGCCTTTATTTTTCCCTTACAGCTGTTGCCCTAAAAAGCTCACAACCAGCTTGCAACCAACCAGTACGACCAGTCTCTTCTCCATCTCAGTAACCAACTGATGAATGCCTGACTTAGGTAAATTGTTATTAAGTCTCATATGTATTTTATAGTTTTGTTATGTTTGTTTTGTCTCACTTCTCAAGAACATCAAATTCTTTAATGCCATATTCCAATACCATTTTATATTAATGAAAAACTGATGTCATTGGCACATTCCTACTATTAGTAAAAGTTAAGTCTATAACCTGCAAGGTCTGGGACAGAATTGCATGGGTTTCAGGTGCAAAACTGTACATTCACTATCTAATCTTTATTCCAAAATAATTTCAGGCATTGCAGATCAACATTGTTCCAACACGACATAATCACGACTCTATAAACTCTTCAGCAAAACTTAGTTTGCGTGAGGGGAACAAAATTTATCCTCAAGATTTTTAATCTTAAAAGTTTGCATGCAACAAGCAAAATAATGCATAGCTTTTTAATTTGCAGTGATATAACTTGCCATTCTGTAGGGGTAATAAAGTTACTTTTGTTTAATTGCTCATGCAGATCTTCATTCTCTTTTACCAACTCTTCAACTCGTACTTTAAAATTCTTCATATCCTCCTGGAAGACAAAGGACCACATAAAACTTTTTAGAGGTAAGTCGTTTGTTTTGATTTTTACATCAACAAAAACTTCTATAAATATACATGCCTCGATGCCTTCTAATTCTTCTGTTAACAGCGTATTATCTCACTACTCATTCATCTTTAATTCAGATGTGCACATTTAACTTCTAAATTGCTTCATCAATCTAGTAATATCTGATTAAAAATAATACATATATTTGAATTGTGCGATATTTTTGCCAAGTGTCATTTGAATTAACTTGTAGATCCTTAAAATATGGATTTAAAAAACTGAATTCTGCAAATTACTAGGTGATACTATACATTTTCAATATGAATGACATGAATTTGAATATGGTAGGATAACACAGTGAATTTACAGTAATATAAACCCCTCTGTCTTTTCTGCTCATTTTATGGCTTCATTTTTTGAAGGAAACAATTTATTTTTAAAAGGTATTTTTGCTCTGAAGCAAATGACCATTTTCCAAAGAGTCAGTGACAAAAAAATACTTCTGAAGAGCAAAAATAATACTGATTCCTTAAATATCTACAAATAAATATTCTTCTATCACAAAATCCACAGGCCTGAAACTGGAGGAGCAGCTATACAGGGCACTGAATGCCCATTATGAATGACAACAGCAAATTCTTTCTACCACTGAATGTGTTTATGGTTTACTCTATTCAGAGAGCACAATTCTTGTACATCTCAGTGTAGTGCCTGCTTCTACATCTGATCAGGCTGACAAAAACAAGCAAGCCAAATAGCATAAGATAGCACAATAATTATGCTTGGAAAAGTAAAACAAAGTAACTTTTAATTTTAGGCAGAAAACAGCTTTGACAAAGCCCTTTAAAAAATTTCAGTTATTTATTTCTACTTTAGTGCAGAAGTGTATTTTCTTTAAATGGCAACTTGCCTCATGTTCAAGATTTAAATCTTCCTTTTCTCTTATTCTATCTTCATATGCCAACAGAAGAGGTGACAAATACTTCATATCCAACTTAAAAAAAAATATTTTAAAAATCAATCCATATAAATCAATCACAAACCATAATCTCATCAATATTTTTTACTTCTGCTAAATATTGCTAGCTTTAAAAGGTATTAAGGGTTTTTGTATATGCTTTGCAGACAAAAGTGCAGGACACACAAGCACACGGATCACCATATGCAAAATGATGCTGCAGAGGCACTTAGTAGCACTGCTTTAGGAGCAAGCTTTGGAAAGGACAAGGCTGGGTGCTGTACTTGCACACTTCAGTAAAAAGCAGCTATTGCTTATCAGGACAGGTAACACACCAGAATGTGGATGCAAATGAGAACAAAACCAAACTGAAACGCTACAGTGAATACAGTTAATAATAATCAAATATAGCCCAGATTCATTAGTACGTGGGAAAGGAATTTTTACACTCTCAAACCTGCAACTTTAAAACTAAATACATACGTATGTGATTCTTGGATATTATAGCTAGAAAGAGCAGAAGGAGGACTTTCCTATTTCTGTATAGTTCTGAATAACAATGAGCAAGACAATTCTAAGATCTGATTAGCATTTCAAGGAGAAATTGCATTCTCCTTGCCAGAAGTTCATAGGCTACTTCTGGACCCATGACCATTGCTACCATCAGTCACTGAAATATGCTGTTTTCTTTTAGTTTCATCATAAAAACAATCACAGCAGAAGGTTACCAACTAAGCAATAGACCTTGAAGCAAACTATGTGCTAGACAATACTAAGCGAAGGTATTTACGATTCTCAGGGTAACAGAACTTCTTACTTTGCATTCAGTAGTCCAAAGTTGGTGATTGTATGCAGTCTGTAGCTTACTGTAAATTCAACTGGAGCTGCACACATTCTTTGCAAAATTCTGCCCTACATCTTTTTATACAATAAACATAAATGTTTATAATATTCTACTAGTATGTGACAGCTTAGCAGAACAAATAAATAATATCCTGAATATATTGGTTCTAGTAAATAAATTCTACTACTTTACTTAGAAAAGAATGAAGAGATAAGTGAAAATATTATTTTACTTACCAGCCATGGTGGTGGTGGTCCTTTCATGGGTAAACTTTTCAGTTTTAGATGCTAAAGTAGATTTTTAAAAAGATACTGAAATTATTTCTTGCCTTTTGAAGAACCAACCGCTGCCCACTGCATTCACAGCTATTACCCCAAACAAGCTTATGTTTCTAGTTATGTGTTGCATCTGTAACACACACTTAATAAAACTAAAGGATAAAGTCTAACTTCTTAAGGTTAGGCTTAACGGTAAAGGCTTATTTTAAATTTCAGAAAAAGTCTATGCCATTTGTAGACTTTGTGGCAAATTTGGAGAAAACAGTCTTAAAAACTCAAAGATGAAAGAAAAGACCATGGGACATTTCAGTACAAACTTCCTTTACAATCAACATTCTCACCTCTTCTTGGGACAATGGCCTGAATTTAGTTTGATAGCGACTTAATTCTACATTTAAACGATGGACCGTCATTTTCAAAGCATCATTTTCATCTACCAGTTCTTGTGCTTGTTGTCTGAGAAAAAGTAATTCTGCAGCCTCCTCTATTAAAACAAATATTCAATGAGAAAGTTCAATCAATAGTCAAGAAATATGCACAATAATTTGTTAATTGTAATGAAAACTAAATCTCAATACGCTAGATTCATAAGAGAAATTATCTCAAAACACTTTAATGGAATAATCCCGTGAAAAAATAGTAACAAAACCCCATTAAATTTCAAACAACCAAGTAATTTTTTTTCATGATCACTTAAGTATTCCTTGACAAAATTTCTACAATTGTAGAAAATACTGTTCAGAAACTACTTCTGCGTAGATACTTCCTCAAATCATTGAGTGGAAACCTACTACTGCAGGAACAGGTTGTAAGAAAGTGGAAAAATCAAACAAGATAACTACAGAAGAGCTTATACATTTCTCCCACCTTCTCTTTGTGACTTCTCTGTAGCTTCTTTAAGCCTTCTGTTTTCTTGTTCTAGCCTCTTCAGCTTTAATTGCTGTTCTTCCATTTGCTGTTTTGTTCCCTCAAATTGCTGGGCCATAGCCTGGCATGCCTTGTTCAGAGACCAGTTTGCTTGTTTTAGTTCTCTGACCTTTTCTTTAGTCATATTTTCCTGTGCTTGCCGTGCCCGAATAGACACATCTGTAATGCCACAGTACAATGTATTTAAATGGTATTCAGACTTGAACACAAGTTTCAGCAAATTATAATCCTTTTTTTCTAATATTAGCATTATGTATGAGTGATACTTCATAAGATATAAGTCAGCTCATGGCTCCTGGAAGATAAGGCCAGAAACAATGAGAAAAGGGGATACCAAAGGAGAGCTATATAGTGGAATGGCTGCAAGTTCTCATCTTTTCTTTCAGACACTGAAAACATTCCTTCCTTAAAAGGAAAATAAAGTGTCAGCAGATCTCCCTCTTCCTAGCATTAGTGACTAGGGAGGTGAGACAGAAATATCCACTGCAGTAAGCAAAGTGTCCGTGCCCTGTATGGACCAGTCACTCCTCTTGAACCCCCTTATTTTAATTGCCTGTGTCTTGAAAGCTTTACTCTCCTTCCCACGGAAGAGACTTCAATGATACGTTACTGAATAGAAGTTACTTAAACAGTCCTTACGAAAGTAAAATTTTAGATCATCTGCAAAATCGTGGATGTATTGTTGCATCAGTAATAATGGATCACACTTTCAAATTTGTCTTTTCATCTGCATGGGCTAAACAGCTTACCTCTTAAAATGAAGGCTGAGATTTTACCCTTACTGTCAGACTTTTAGGAGCACACATAATCTAACAGCATACAGGTGTGAACATAACTGAGTACAGAACAGTTCCTCAGTATAAGACACACATGAAACCAAATAACTGGTTTTGAAATACAGAGTGCTGTCTTGTTATTGGTGACATGTAACTGCTTCGTGTGTTTACTAATATTTCAGGCACTTACAATCGCTGCTAACTTCCTGTGAGATGGCATAAGATACTTGGACAGCACAGAAATACACAAAACCCCATGAATTCATGGTAGGCACATATCCCATCCATGCCACACACAAAGTTCAGAGGTCCTGTGCCCGGAATTGTTACGTGGATGCAATAACATACAAATAAGGCACTAGCTGAAGGCAGACCACGTGTCTCAGCACTGTATGTTTACCACTTCAGTTGCAATGAGATACTTAATAATGGTGACATCCTCTAATGTAGATGAAACTTTGGATTAGATACTTTCAGCATGACTTTCATTACATCATTTCACAATCATTTGCTTAAGACTTCAAAAGTCACTCAGACTGTAAAATAAAAACAAGTCTAAACCACCTGACATACATATCACAGAGCACTCAGCACTTTCTCATCTCCTGTACAGGAGAAATACTTCCCCTATCCAATGTAGAATTAGGCTTAGAGAATACAAGCAGGAAAATGTATTTCTATATACATATGCATATTATTAAACTGAAGATATGTAGTAAATTCACAGAAAAATCAAAAGTACCTGGGGATGGTGGAGGCTTTTCACGTATCAGATTTTCAGCCAATGATTTTTTTTCCTTGTAGAAAAATAAAAAATGAGACAATTTGCTTTAGCAGTTATCCTCTCTGAAGTACTCTGAACAACATCACAGTTGGACAATTCAAGAAACAGAATTTTTGAAGTAATTCCTTTTGCACCAACAAAATTTAAGGTTAGATTCACTACTGACAATCCATGACTTGTCATTTACCCATCTTGACATAATTTTGTCACCACTGCCATCAGTCACTTGTGGACATTTGAAACTCTTAGTATTTTCTTTAGTTGTCAGAGATGTACAGTTCTCAAAACAATTTTATGGCTGACATAAAAGTTACATAAACAAACTCTCTTGACCAAACAGGATGGATATTGCTCCCACTCATTAGTTTGTATAAAGTAAGACTTTAGAATAGTAAATCACGATATGAACTGTCAGTCCCTAACTGGGAATTAGCAAATAAAACGTAAAACATTCTTAAACAAAGTTGAAGAACTTTGTTCTCCCTTTGCTGGTGAAAAAAAAAAAAAAGGTACTTATTTTTACATTTTCAGAAGGTTCTTTTCTCAGGAAAGAACTACAGGCTGAATTTATACTAATGTATTTACTTGAGGTGAACATGATCAATACACAAGCTTTCTCTACGTTTTTATGAAACAGCAGTGAAGTTCTGTGAGGATATGATGTCATGTAATTAAACATACCGAGACGCTGATGACTAAATGAGTCAAAACTCACAAACAATTTCAAAAGAAAATATATGTGGTCAAGAACTTCAAGAAAAAAAAGTGATGTTAACAATGGAAGCACTGACCATTTTTGTAAATAATATTCCAGCAAGTTGATCTGAGAAACTAAACTTTTGAGCATTCTTTTTCAAGCTTATGAAAGCAGTCAGATGGGCTCAGCTGGAAAACTAGATAAAAAAACCTGGTGAAGTCAGGCTCAGAATTTGAAAATCATCAGTAAGAGCTATCTATTGCTGTAACACAATCCCTCCCACTCTGTTTCTTTCACATGAGGAACAACAGAAGATATATTAAAACATATATTTTAAAAAAATAACTTTTGTATGGCCTATTTACCTATATAGTCATATTTTTTCAAAAGGAATGATTAGCCATTCTTGTACTCCAGAAGCAAAAGACCCCTAGTGACAATAAATTAGTTTCCTTTTAAGTGACTGTAAACTATCAGCTCTTTATAACACCCTTCTTTCCAAAATGCATCACAAATTAACCTTCATGCAAGTCTTACCTTTAAATCTGAGCCAAGATGTTGCTCTTCTGCTAAAGAAAAATAGATCTTTCAGCCAGTTAAAAACAAAAGTATTTGTAAGTCCATAAACTTAGTCTAAGAGTTCATATAGATATGTAAGCCAAGTATTATATGCAAATAAATGTAAAAGTCCTCCCAAAACCATAAATTAGATCACTCGTGTTCCACTGTCTCTTTCATGGTGTATCAGGATACTGATGTGAGACCTTACTTCACCTCCTGCTGTGTAGATGCAACTATGGCAGAAATGAAGCTGTATAGTTGTCTTCCACTATTATTTTAGAATTTGAGTAAAGGACAAATGAAATATTTTCATTGATTTTACTGGGCTTGAATCCTATTGCATCTCTGAACAAGCCAAGTGCAACTCTGACAGCTTCCAAGATCTGCAGCACTTACTATGTAGAAAAGGTATTAGAAACGGTTTATTATCCTTTTCAGTTTAATGCGTCCACTCCCCAAATGGTTTTATCAAAGCAACCCATTCTTTCTGGGTATTATTCCCGATAAAGCTTCTCAAATAACTCCGCTGAAATAATATTGGAAAAACACTGGGATCTAACATGAACAGAAATTAGAAAAAGACTTTTCAAAACGGACCCAGTTCTGCTTCCTCTTTTCTATCTGACAGCTACTAGAGTGCTTTCATGCTCTGTAAAAACTGCATTTCGCAGCTCTGGAACAAACTCTGATTTCCTGATTTTAAAATAATGGACAAGATAATTATGCAATAAAACTCCTATGCAGGTAGATTGGTCTTGCTCTCTTGTGGCAATTTTTTCTCCACAATATTCTATTGTTACAAGGAAATAGCTTAATGACAGGTCTAGTTATGAACCAAATATCCCTGATCTAATGAAACTTCTTATTGCAGAAAAAATTGTCAAGTTTAACAATTCAGAGCTCAGGGTGATAATCTGAGACTGATGATTATGTTCCGCTCTCTATTCTGTCAGAACCTTCCTCTGTGACCTAATGTACAATTTTAAGGCTCAGACCTTAAAAGACAGCGAGAACAATACAACTTCTGTAGAAAGGATAAACAATGCTAGTATCATGCCATTTGGTTATTTAAAAAAAATAAATTCTTACAGCTCATTTTCAGACATGATGGGTTTTTATCCGAGAAAAATGACTGATTAAAAATGTATCCTTCTATTTCTTTAGCTTTTTTTAAAAATATTGGTAGTTCTACTTTTTTGCATTTTTTGAGCACAGTAACACTCCAGTAGTTTCCAGAGTATAAACTGGATTGATTCTGGCACATATAATCAACAGAAACATAGTAGAGAATGACTGTACTAGACAAGACAAAGAGTTCACAAAACATTTTTTCCCCCCTCTCTTTTTACACTAGTTGATAGTGTATGTTTAGAAGTTTCAGTTATACAGTGAATATAGACCAATCTTCTCTCTTTATGCAGATTTTTAATTGTCTGTAATTACTAGAAATGTCTAAGTATTTAGTAGCATTTCTTTCATTGCCCTTTTAAAAAAAATCCAAGGAATATATCATTACCATATAGTATTAACTTTATTTTAGTCAAAAATTCTTTTTCCCCATGGTATTAAAAGGTATGGCATTTTGACCTAAAGTAAGTTTATTTACCTTCTATTTGCACGTTTGCCTCATCCACCAGCACCTGAGACTCAGTTTCATGAGAAGGTGCCTCTTTCTTATCAGCATTAGTACTAGAAGATGATGGAGGCTCTTCCTATGTGAAAACAAGACAAGCCTCTATAAATCATGATCACACTGTTAAATAGCCCACACCTTTATACCTGCGTGAAAATGTTAGTGTTTTAATGTCCCAGTCAGATTCGGAATTGTACTCCAATATTTTAAGATAATAAATGAAAAGAAATACTTTTTTTTGTTTAGGGCTCTATGTAAATAAAATCTAAACCTTACTATGATCAACAGGAGGCAGGAGACCGTGATTGTCATTTAGTTCACAGGGCGAATATTCCTGTCACCTTATTCAGTCACAGGAGTCTGTGAAATTACTCTACGTTTGCTTATTTGCTGTGTCATATCTCATCTTGCTCTTAATAAAAGATAAACCACTTATCTACTATATCACAACACTGAGGGATTCATGAATTGTCTTCACTGTTCTTCCCCTGTTGATCACATACCAATGTCCCATGAATTCCACTCTCTCTCTTTTTTTTTTTATTCCCCCTTCCGTCCTCTTATTGACTACTATCTCTTCACCTAGGGGTGTTTTTCGGATTTCTTTTCACATACATGGCATTTTATTGCCTCTTTACTACTCAGTTACTTCTTCCTGTTCGTTAAATTTTTGTATCATTTTGAACTTAACTTTCAATGCACCTTAGGAATATTAAACTGCTCATTGCTGGTTAAGGCAATCCAAACCTGTTACAGAAAAATCCACTGGTCTTCAGACAACAAGGTAATTTATTTTGTTTGATTCTGAATCTCCCTGTCTCTATATAGGTCTCTGCTTATTAGCACAATGCTGAATCATTAACTAAGCTTTCAGCATTTAAAAGTGAAGTTCCTAGATTATTTAACAAATAATCTACTATATAAGTATCACACACAACATAAAATACTGGACACTTTACAAGACTAAATTATGCACAATAATTATACACAGTACCAGTGTTTTCCTAATAAGAAAAGGCTCCTAATAATCAAAGATATGAAATCTGTGAGGATCAACAAACAAACCTAACTCATGTAGGAGTAAAGGAACCACAAAAGGAAGCATGTGAAATAAAAACTGAATAAATGTCTGAAGAGTAAGAAAAGAATGAAAAGCCTCATAAATATTTAATATTTGTATTAATATATTAAAACATGGTAAAGGAATTAATGCATTTGAAAATCCTACCTTTTTATTTTTGCAGGGAAGAGCATAAATAGCATTGGTGCTAAAGCCTTCTCTCCTTTTCTCATTACTTTGACCGCTGGACTCCGCCTCTTTATCAGCATCTGAAAAACAGGTGTCCATGTCCTCATCTTCGCCATAATTGCCTGGTATTTCCAGGGACTGTACAGGAGATCTGTCACTACCATCAAGTTTCCAGTTGGGCCTGTAAGTAGAAAGCAGTTTAAATCCTGTTTCGGTGCTGCTTACTCTTAAAAAAAAATGAACACTAGTAGAGTAGAACCATCAGTCTTACAATACACACAAGCCCAAAGAGCCAATGCAGACAGACAGCTAAGCTTCTGTTAGCTGCTAACAGGGAATCTAGCCTATGTCTGTGTTTTAAAATAGAAGATTAACACTGGAGCTATGTTTTCTTCTCGTATTTTCAAGAAAACGCCAGATGAGGGATAGAACATTGCTAATTCTAAAGAAGGGTCTGAAATAATTATTTAGCACAAAGGACGTATCTGACATATATAATTCAGATGATTCCTCAGTGATTAACTGATTGTGTAATTGATTGTCATTTGGCAGAAATAATATATGGTTTTACTTGTGACTGGCTGTGCAATCCAAATCTCCCTCTCTGGAGACTATATGCGTGACATCACTTTATGAGAAATGGAGTAAGAACTGTAGACACCTCAGACTCAATTTATGATGCGGTGAGAAAAAAGTAAGTGGCTCTAACAGCAGGAGTCTGCTGTAACTCTTTGGTGAAATTGTATCATTGACAGATTCCACTTCTAATGTAAGACATCAAAACAGACAGTATACACTACCCCACTCTGAGCTCTGTGACTGTTGCATATGGTTCAAAACACTCTTGTTCCACGTAGGTGGAATCACTTTCAGAAAGTGATCTCTGCCGAGGCTGAGGAATAGCAACAGTGCGTCCCGTTAGTGTTGTTGCAAGGATAGCTGCTGCTAGAGCAGATCTGGAAGAAAACAGAATAAAGCAATGAAACAATACTGATGTCTTCTCTGTGCTCCACATGTCATATTTTTCCATTGCAAAATACCTTAACTACTTAATCAAAGCAAAATATTCACAGTTAACAAGCATAAACACCACTGAAAGTGCTAAGGGACTGGTTATAAACTATTAACTCCCACAGTAAAGCACAAAACTGGGCAAGCTACTATCATAACGCAGCTATCTAAGAGTAAAGTACAATACCTATCAGTTTTCCCAAATCACATGCATGAAAATCATGGAATACACTGAGTTACATTCTCAAAATTGACACAGATTATTTACAGTACATAGCATCCACTTTAGCCATAGCAATACTACCTGGCATTGCGCTGAAAAGGTGTTCCATGCTCTGCTATTTTGTCTCCTAGTTTCCATTATTCCCTACTCTGAACCTTTTGCTGACGACTCTGAAGCTGTTAATAAAGGCTGGCATGTTGCAAACTAGAGCAAGCGTAAGTAGACAGAAGTGCCTACTTGTGGGATGCTGCGGAGCATAGAGAAGGGTAAGATGGAGAGGAAAAAACAAGTAGGAACACAGATTAAGAGAGAGAAATGGTGAGGACTTAACAGGAATGACAACAACTGGAGGTCAAAAACAAAAAAGAAAAATTAGGGCTAA